GAAATTTATTTTGAATTAATGACTTGGTTAATGAGCCTATTTTATATTTTGTAAATTTTATTATTGAGTTAAGATTTTTGGTAAATATATAGAAATTTGAATTTATATAGATAATTGATAATGAATTAATAATACTATTAAAATAGATTGAATAAGTTTGAGTTAAACCAATATTTTCAAATTTACTTAGTTTCTGTAATTAATTAATGCACGTTGTCATCAATATTCTATATGAGTTTGATATAAATAATGGATAATCATTTATGAATATATCAAGATTCTCCCAAAGAGTTGTGTATGATGGATTATTATAATGTCGTTTGGGGTTTTATTAATTACACACTATTTAATCCGAGAAATATTAATGAAGGTAGTATTAGATGTAAGAGATGTAAAAATAAAAAATTTCTCAATACATATATTGTAATAATGTATCTTTTACAAAAAGGGTTCATGAAGAGATACATGTGTTAGTTTACACATAGAAAATCATATGTTCCTCACGAGACTGTAGTAGAAATGATGGTTAGGTCAACTTCGAGTTCTAGCAACGTGTATGAAGTTATAGATGATAATAGTAATTCTTATAGGAATATTGTTACATGGATGCAATGTGAGTAAGATGCATTATACTAGTCAATATTCAATTATAAATGAAGAACTTAATCCAGATACGACCAAGCTTTTTGATCTTTTAGAAAACTCTAATGAACCATTATAGAATGGGTGTATAAATTATAGTAAATTATCGATCCTTGCACAAGTATCCATCATCAAGGCAGATCATGAGTTGAGTGAGAATGATTATGAAAAAATTATCAAATGGGCGAGAAGCATTTTATCTTAAGCAAATAAGATAAAAAAAACTTTTATGCTATTAAATCCAAAATGAAACCCCCGGCCTAGGATACAGAAAATTGATATGTCTAAACTTATACATGTTGTACTACCTTTAAAATATATATTTGATCAAATGTAGAACATCTAAGCATGCTCGTTATAAACCCAAAATTAGTAGGGAAAAAACTCTTTTTCACATATAGAAAACTTAAATACTTCTCAATCACACCTGAACTTCAAATAATATTCATATCACCAAAGACTGTTGAGCCCATGACATGATATCATTTACATGATATGGTGGATGAAGTATGATAGTGCATTATTCTAATGGTGAGGCCTGAAAACATTTTAATAGAGTGCATCTTTAATTTTTAATAGAATCAAGGAACGTTCATCTTGGATTATATACAGACGGATTCAATCCATTCGGGTTATTTGTTACTCCTTATTCTTGTTACCCAGTGATACTCATGATTAATAACTTGTCACCGATGATGTGTATGAGGTTGAAGTTCATGTTTTTATCTATGGTCATACTCAGTCCTATGACTTCAAGGCGGAATATAGATGATTGTCTTTAACTGTTGATTGATGAGTGGAAGTATTTTTGGTTATTCGAGACTTTGACTTATGATGTATTGAGGAAACATAATTTTGTTGCCACGTACATCGACGGCTCCGTTCGTTTCGCATGCGAAGTGAATGTTAAGATTATTTTTAATAACATCTATTTTTTATTTTTTTATAAATATATTTAACTTACAATAATTTTCTCTTGTTGACTACAGTTATTGGACGTGAATCAAGCTTGATGAAGCTTTTTATGAAAATGCACCTGCGAAGTGATGACCTCCAAAACTAGGTGCAATAGCTTGTGGATAGTCAAGCTCAATATTTTGTGGTATATTGGTCTTTTGTCATTTTTTAAGTTATTATTTTTTTGAATTTGCTAATTTTTTCTCAGGATGCATATAATACCTGATTAAAGGAGAGATATAAGGACACTTGACACGACTAAAAGATTGATGTCTTCTCCCAAGTGCAGGAGTGTCGAAGTAATAAATAACCCGGCAAGACCGGGGTCGAACCACAAGGAGGTTAATTGTACAAATTATAAACAACAATTATAAACAACAATAAGAGCAATAACAACAAGAACTATAATAACAACAACAACAACAACAACAACAACAACAACAACAATAATAATAATAATAATAATAATAATAATACTAATAATACTAATAATAAAACTAATAATACTAATAATAATACTAATAATAATAATAATAATAATAATAATAATAATAATAATAATAGTAGTAGAAGTAGTAGTAGTAGTAGTAGTAGTAATAGTAGTAATAATAGTAGTAGTAGTAATAATAATAATAATAATAATAATAAAGAAAGAGAAGAAGAAGATGACGATGAGAACTTGGAGATGGAAAATTAATGTAAAGATTAAACAATAATAATAACAAATGTCAAGGTTAGAGGTTCCACTAATGGTATATCAAACAAGTATAGTATAAACTCTTATTATTGAATTGGAAACCACACACAAAGGAGGTTCCAATCATATTATATATTGTTAACATGATTACATTAATCATCTTATTCAATTAATGCTAATACTTGTAAATCTCGTCAAGCATTCATGATTATAACTTATGTTAACAACAAATCAAGTTCCTTTCATAGCTCAGGTGTCGGTTATACCATACATTATGGGCTATGAAAATGCCAAGCATTTGTTGTACCAAGTGTTATATAACATAAATCAAGATTAGTCATTTAACAAGCAAAGTATTAAAGAGTGAACAAGATAACAAATATAAAACATGTTAGTACCAAACATTAAAGTCCATATTAAGTTTACATTATACTTATTCTCACACCATTAGTGTAACCTTTTCACCTTGACATAATTAACTTAGCTAGACATAATGAAAGAAAGGAAAACAAATAAACAAAATAAGAACATAAAAGTTAACTAAGTAAAGGAAAGGAAATGAAAGGCATAAACTTGATATTAATGAAAGTAAAGCATAAACATTACAAAAAATACAAAGAGAGAAAAGAAGAGCATGATCTTGATCTGAAAACCAAGATGCCTAAATGCATGGCAAATGCCTCCTTTTATAGGCCAAAATTGGGAACTATTGATTTGATGACTAATTGATAAGTGGGTGGCCAACTTTTGACTTGGTGACAATCCTTATCTTCTCTTGTCTTCCCAAAACGTCATTGATAACGTCAAAATTGGAGCCAGTTGCAAACATGAAAGTTGTAGGAAATTGTCTCAGCTTTCTTGTGTAAAAAATTCAGCTCATTTGGACTTCTAGAACTTCAGATATGGCCAAAATACCGAACAGTGCTCGGGCTGGAAGACAGATTCGGGCTTCTTTGTTGTTGCTACAATTTGGACTTGATAATGGCCTTTTTAGATCTTGGACTCCATATGAAAGTTGTAGGCCTATCTCTTACCTTTCCATCCATGTAAATTGGACCTAAATCTGAGATCTGTAGCTCCAGATATGACCCAATTACCGAACAGTGTTCCGGTTTGGATTGCACCGACATCTCTTTTCTAAGTTTGGCCATCTCTTTATCCTTGCAATTTAAGTTCTTCAAGTCATCAATCAATCCTTTCATTTATGTGATAGGCCTGCATTAAAAATAGACATTTACCACAAATTAAAGGTATCTTATATTATTAGATATATTATTATAAAACATGCTTTGGTTAAGGAGTTATTGATACTTCAAGTGCAAAATGATGATATAAAACTATGATAAAAATGCACTTTTAAGTACTAATCAACACTTCTTCGAACTATCCGGATCTCGATATGAATTTATGACTGAAGGCAGGTGCGTTCGATGGACCTGATAGAAATCAGGTGTACGGTCTCTCTAACACTATAGTTGAGGACTTACATACAACCTGTAATGTTTCAGTTGTTAAATGCTAGTAATCAATTTGAAGCGTTCAAACTTTAGAGTTCAAGACGATCTTGGACCAACAAGTTTAAGCTTAAACGACTTATCTTGCTTTTGATAATGAGCAACTCAATATTGAGATGGTCGAACTCTACTGATTGGTAATGAAGATGAAATCACAGATAGATGGTATATGTGTTCGCTTTTGGCCCTACGGTTCTAGTGAAGACCCTTCTCGTTCTCTAGCGTCTCTATTCAAAATTAATTGTATTTGAACTTATATATATATATTATTGATGGTGTTACCAAATGATTAAGTTTATTAGTATATTCTAGAGAGTTGAAAATAATTAATGCAAATGTTACTCCCACTATTTAATCATCTACATAATTGCATTTGATCTTTTTGTAAGTTAAATGTTAGATTCACCAATGAAAATACCAACAATGAAAAACAAATCATCAATGGAATCATATACAATTTTTTTGTTGATAAAATGTTATATTCATTGATGAAAATACCAACGAAATGAAACAAGTAAAAAAAATTTAACGAGCTTTCATAGCTAGTAAATCCATCAGTAAAATTATTACTAACAAACCCACCGACAAACCACAAATCATTAATAAGAGTTTTTTTATATAAAATATTTTTATCCATTCATATCAATGTACTAAAAGTATAAATAATGATAGAAAATATGGTCGGTGGTGGTTATTTTGATATCAACATGTGAGCTTATTCAGTATATTTAAATGAAATTGTTCTATCTTGTTATCATTTCATCATTATCTAGATTTTGTATGAGCTTATATTAAATCATAGTTGCTATTTTGTAATAAAAATCATACATGTGTTTTTTTTAATATGGCAATTAGAATTATGCTGATTCAATTCGATAGGAGGTATATTTGGATGTCCTCCATGTGCCTAATCCAAAAAATTCGAAAAAAAGGAAGGGAAAGTCATTTATTAAATATGGGCCGGCCTTCTCTACTTATTTATAAAAAGTCTACACTTCTTTTCAACCTTTCACAAGCGAAAATATAAACTTAATTGATTTCAACATTGAATAAGTAAACAATTTTTTTTACAAATTGGAGACGAAACCTTCCAATATTATTTAAGGTAATTAAATAAATTAAAAGTGGCCAACTTGTGAAATGTTCGAGACAGGCCACGAAAAAAATCTATATAAAGCCCCATGATATCCTTCTCAACTTAGCAACATCGGAAAGTTGCGAGGAGTAAAAGTCTTGTGGATTACACAAAACACAGACTGAAAACATCCATAGGCACCAACACATAAACCATCCATGGATTCTCTTGTCCAATCTTTGCAAGCTTCACCCATGTCTTTCTTCTTGATCGCTGTCACTTCACTTTTTTTCTTAGGTCTACTCTCTCGCCTTCGCCGAAGATTGCCATATCCACCAGGGCCAAAAGGGTTGCCACTTGTTGGTAGCATGCACATGATGGACCAAATAACTCACCGTGGGTTAGCTAAACTAGCTAAGCAATATGGTGGGCTATTTCATATGCGTATGGGGTACTTGCATATGGTAACTGTTTCGTCTCCTGAAATAGCTCGCCAAGTTTTGCAAGTCCAGGATAACATTTTCTCCAATAGACCAGCCAACATAGCCATAAGTTACTTAACCTATGATCGTGCCGATATGGCCTTTGCCCACTATGGCCCGTTCTGGCGCCAGATGCGTAAGCTCTGCGTCATGAAGCTATTTAGCCGGAAAAGGGCTGAATCATGGGAGTCTGTGAGGGATGAGGTGGACTCAATGCTTAAGACAGTTGAAGCCAATATAGGCAAGCCTGTGAATCTTGGAGAATTGATTTTTACCTTGACCATGAATATCACTTACAGAGCAGCTTTCGGGGCTAAAAATGAAGGGCAGGGTGAGTTCATCAAGATTTTGCAGGAGTTCTCTAAGCTTTTTGGAGCATTCAACATGTCTGATTTCATTCCCTGGCTAGGCTGGATTGACCCACAAGGGCTCAGCGCTAGACTTGTCAAGGCTCGCAAGGCTCTTGATAAATTCATCGACTCTATCATCGATGATCATATCCAAAAAAGAAAACAGAATAACTTCTCTGAAGATGCTGAAACCGATATGGTCGATGACATGCTAGCCTTTTATAGTGAAGAAGCAAGGCAAGTAGATGAATCAGATGATTTACAAAAAGCCATCAGCCTTACTAAAGACAACATCAAAGCCATAATCATGGTAAGTACCGATAATCTTTTCTTAAAATATCCAATCATCCCACAAAATAACATTTTATATATAAATATAGGCGTAAGGTACTCACACATACCTATAAAACTTCTTATTTAATATAAGATCTCAATATTGCAGTCCAGTTTTTTGTCGTTTCAATTCCAATGAAACTAAAAATCAATAACGTGCAAATCCACACATACCTCTCATTTGTGGGTAGATGAAATTGAAGGAATTACTCATCAATCTAAGTTGATTCTGGCAGGATGTGATGTTTGGTGGGACAGAGACGGTGGCGTCGGCAATAGAGTGGGCCATGGCGGAGCTAATGAAGAGTCCAGAGGATCAAAAAAGAGTCCAGCAAGAGCTTGCAGACGTCGTGGGTTTAGAGCGGCGCGTGGAGGAAAGTGATTTTGACAAACTAACATTCTTGAAATGCGCCCTCAAAGAAACCTTAAGGATGCACCCACCAATCCCACTTCTCTTACATGAAACATCTGAAGATGCTGAGGTTGCGGGTTATTTCATTCCAAAGCAAACAAGGGTGATGATCAATGCTTATGCCATTGGGAGAGACAAGAATTCATGGGAAGATCCAGATGTTTTTAAGCCTTCAAGGTTTTTGAAACCAGGGGTGCCTGATTTTAAAGGGAATCACTTCGAATTTATTCCTTTCGGTTCTGGTCGGAGGTCTTGCCCCGGTATGCAGCTTGGGTTATACACACTTGATTTGGCTGTTGCTCACTTGCTTCATTGTTTTACATGGGAATTGCCTGATGGCATGAAACCAAGTGAACTTGACATGACTGATATGTTTGGACTCACCGCGCCAAGAGCAACTCGACTCGTTGCCGTTCCGAGCAAGCGTGTGCTCTGTCCTCTCTAAGGAAGGGAAAAAGGTAAGGGATGGAAACGAACGGGATTCCCTTCATTCGTGGATTCTATACATAATTGAGGCCATGGTGACACAGGGTCAATTTGCAGGTTTTTTTTTTTTTTTACTTTTTTTATATATAATTGGGTTAAAAAGATTATCTTTACTTTTTAATTTGTACCATTCAAATAAAGCTTGTAAAAGAAATTTTATTTTGATCAACTGAAAGAAGAAGAATAGTTTCCAAATGAGAAAGTGTTTTATGCCTGTTTATCCTTTGGTCTTTCCCACCTCTTCTTGTCCATGAGAAATTATGCTGGGTTATGACACGATCCAGTCAAAAGATATTAAAGAAAGGAGATGATCTTACTATCCCAGTTACTTATATATTTATATTATTAATATGGTTGTTTCGCTTAGTTTAAATGTGATTTAATTTCTTGAAATTAATAATTATTTAAATTTTTAATAATTTTAAAATTTATAAAGTTTGAACTAGTATTTTTTATAAAAATATCTGAAACTTAATAAGTTAAACTACAACTATTTTATTTTAATATTGAAAAGACATGTATGGGTGCCTCCAAGCAAGCGAACGATTCCTTTCTTGTACATGTTAAAAGAAAAGGTCGAAAACAACTCCAGCATTAATAAAATAAACGAGAGGTGCTTAGTTAAATGATATTGATGTTGATACGTGGTGGAGAATGTTTTTGTTGTAATAGGGTTTTTTTTTTAGATTTATTAAAATAATAGTTTAATGATATTGATGTTGATGCATGGTAGAGAATGTTTTTTTTTAATAGGTTTTTTTTAGATTTATTAAAATAATTTTTTTAGATTTTTAATATTAATACATTAACAAATACTAAAAAAGTAGTAATTTAATATTTTTTAAAATCAAATATATTTTTAAAAGGCATTACTTAAAAATAGATGAATTAACTATACATGTTTGAAATTGTGGTGAGTTGAAAAGAAGCATTGTTTTTTTTTTTAATGTAATTTGCATGATATCATAGTTTGAAATGTGACTGATGATGTGTGAAATGTTTTAAAACAAATTTAATTTTAATTAACCTATGTTAATAAATATCAGAATAAATTAATACGAAACCCTATATGTGGTGTCATCTCAAGTAAATTTATGTATGATTTCGGAAAGAAACCAATTGGAGAAAAGAGAATTGTAACTTAACCATTTTAAAGACAGTAAGTTTAGGCGTTAGTGTCATTATCAATACATGTATAGATCTAGTATAACTGCACATCGCCTGTATTTGTCTCTCTTAATTAATTAATGGGGACAGTGAGCTTGATGAAATTAGAGGTGATGTTGCTTAATCAAGCACAATGTGTTCCAAACAGATTATGGCATGGATATTCTCATTTCCTACGCCTCCAAGGGCTTGCCACTCACTTCCCTTTCCTCTTCATTTGATAGCACCTCTCAGTCACACACCTGAATTATCTACCTTGCCTATCTCCCAAGCATGCTGTCCAAGAAAACCATGTTCGGTCGGGTGTTATGCATGCCCATTTCAAGTTTCAAGTCCTCCAATCAAGCTCATTAATGGATTTGAAAATAACTTGGGATCGAGAAATCTGTTTGTACGATGAAATTTGAGGTTCCTGTAACCTTTCAATAAATGATTTGTTCATTTAGAGTGTAGCAAACCCTCCACCCCTTCAAAGCAAGAGGTCTTTATTCCTCCTCGTCTCTCTTTAATTGAAATTCCAGAACAAGAATGAGCATGGTTTTGATTACCCTAATGTGTTTTTAATCATGTGATTTTACCCAAAAGGATGGAAAGACTCGTGGGATCTAATTAGTGCTTCTTAATTATTTTTTGTCTTGAAAAAAGTATTAAATTGATTTTTTTATTTCTAATAATATTAATATAAAAATAATATTATTTTAATATATTTTCCATTAAAAAACAAGTTTAAAAAACGTACTCCATCAACTTGGTCCATGATAGAAAGTTCGGACAAGATTTCAACTGCTTACTCAACCTGCAATGCAAGACAAAATGCTTTGAATTGGTCTGGTGACGAGGGTAAGAAAAGTAGAAGGGTTTGCATGGTGGAATCGTATTACAATGGTGAAAACGTTGCTTTAGTGTTCACACTACAAACAAAAGGGATTGAATGCCGACATAGGAATGTTACAGCTTGCAACACCGATGAACATTGATTTGTGAATTGACTTGGGAGCTCGATCCTTTCATTTCTTGAGGTCGTTGCAATAAGCCCAGGACCTCGCTTGCAGCTTTAAATGATCTATGCTCTAGTAATTAATGTTTAGCCATATCCATGCCTAGGTCTGATATATTTAAGGGGCCATGCTCCCACTTCCTTCAAAATGCTTCAAGCTATTTGAGGAATTGAAAGTCACATCAGCTTTTATTAGCTACGCGTTTTGATATCTTTGCTGGCATTTGGTGCAAGGCTAAGACAAGGAGGGCAGATTCCCAATGGCTAGAATTTAAAGATCCCAAATAGCATGTTCTTAATGCCCACGTGCTTGTTCTTGATAAAGAAAAAACATAAGTGTGCTTGGCTTTTTATTTTATTTTTTTCATCTGCTCCAATATTTTTTAAAGGCTAGAGACATGTCGCAAGCAATGAAAGACAACATGTAGATGGAAATTGGGGCCATGTATGTTTTTTAACCTTTAAACTTCATAATTCAATTTGTTTTTATTTGAAAATATCTTGGGAAGATTATCTAAACCTAAATACACATTTAAAAACCAAAATACTCAACAATCACTCTTAAAAACAAAAATCAATTGAATTAAAACAAACCAAACAGACCTCTTTACTACTTTTTTCATGATGTTTAGAGGTAAAACCATTTTTATTGAACTCTTATCGAAAAAATGAATTCATTAATACAAAACTCATCATTTCTTATGATCTAATTGTGGCCAACTAGCAACTTTATTATTTTTTGATGAGTTTCTCTCTTCTCTCTCACACATAATGACTAAAAAAAAAAACTTTCAAACTCACATGAAAATTCTAAGAATTTTGAGATCTTCATGTTTTACATTGTAGTCCTTTCACTTTAAATTTTATCTTTCTACTACAATTTAAAATTTTATCTCATTAAATTAGATCGTATAAGGATTAAATCAAAAGGAAAAAAAATATCTAAGGAAAAAAATTAAGAACAAGGATGAAAATAAAAAAAATAAAGGCAATTGCTTCACTATTCATATGAGAAAAACCCAAATCTTTAATATTTTAGTTAATAATTAGATTGGTGGCTCGTGTTATATCTTTAATTGGATCAATTTTTTTAATATAAAAAAGAAAATGCTTAACCAACACTAGCATTTCAAACAAGTTTTTTTTATAAAAGTAAAGTCTTTAGAATATTCTAATAAAACTTCATCTCAATTTAATTATTTGATAAAAAGTTATGAATTATTTTTGTCAGAAAAATTGTTTGAGACATCTCAAATTCTTTTTTATCAACTAACACTAGCATTTCAAACAAGTTTTTTATAAAAGTAAAGTCTTTAGAATATTCTAGTAAAATTTTATCTTAATTCAATTATTATCAGTATTTTAAACAAGTTTTTTATAAAAATAAAATCTTTAGAATATTCTAGTAAAATTTCATCTCAATTTAATTATTTGATAAAAAGTTGTCTCAAATTCTTTTTGATCAGCCAATACTAACCTTTCTAACAAATTTTTTATAAAAATAAAATCTTAAAAATATTCTAATAAAATTTCATTTTAATTTAATTATTTGATAAAAAGATATAAATTATTTTTGACAGAAAAATTGTTTGAGAGGTCTCAAATTCTTTTTGAAACTAGAATTTATTTGACGCATGCCGTGTCAAAAGCTAATGTGCGCATGACTTGAAAAAATGGAAGACGGGTTAAATCTATTGATTCATGTTATCTTTTTGGGGTAGATATTTGACGCGTGTGTTGTTAGTGATCATATGAAAAACTCAAGGAAACATTAATAGGTAATGACTATGCTGGATGCCACCCTTCACCCACCAGAATTAACACCAGTCTCTTCCTCCTCACTGCAGTCCCTTCACTTCTTTTCCTACTAGTTTGCAGCCTTTACCGAAGGGTACCATATCCATCTGCAGAGGGTACCAACCATAGGTAACATGCTCTTGATGGACCAATTAACTCAACATGGTCTAGCTAAACTAGCGACAATATGGTGCAATGTTTCTTCTCCGAATGGGGTACTTGCATCTGGTGGCTGTTTCCATCGCCGGAGATATATAGTTCGTCAAATTTTGCATCTCCGAGAAAAGATTTTCTCTAATAGACCAGCCAACATAGCTACCAAATATTTAACCTATGATCATTCTGACATTGCCTTTGCCTACTGTGGTCCATTTTAGCGCCAGATGCGTAAGCTCTCCGTCTTGAAGCTAAAGATTTGAAGGTGTATTGTTTGAGAAATTTGAAGCGCAGATTATATTCTTGAAATCCAATTTTGCATACATTTTCGTTGTTGCAATAAAAGAATTTATAATGAATTGGCACGCGTATACATGGCAGGATGTGATGTTCGGTGGAACGGAGAAAATGGGGGAATCAGCTATTGAGTGGACATCGGTGGATTTAATGAGTCCGATGTGGTGGATCTAGAGCGGCGCACGAAGAGAATGAATAAAAAGCACCCTGAAAGAAAACTTAAAGACTCCATCCACCAACACCACTTCTCTTACATGAAACCACTGTGGATTCTGAGGTTGCTGGAAAACGAAGGCTTTGTTCTTGTTTTTATTATACAGATACAAACAAGGAAAAAAACAATTGTTAATTGAACTTTGTTTTCATGTTTTTCATGCAAATAACAGCTTTCAAAAAACAAGCTATTACTTGCCCCCTTCTTGTTATGCAGCAACTGCTTTGAGTTATAAATGTTTACATCAAGATGCGGACTGCGGCAAGACCAACAGCAGAGATGGAAACAAGAGTACCCAGGCAATACTTTATCACTTCATATTTTCCTGCTTCCAATTGGGCCCTTAAACCATGAATTTCCTGAAATTATGACATAGAAAGGGAACATGTTAAGGTTGCAAATTGACCAAACCGCATTATCTATATCAATTTCAGTCGGAGTACTCACGCCATCAAGTTTGTTGGTGAGGTTAGCGGTTTCAGCATTCTGGTTTGCTAGCT